CTTCACTACACGACTTTTAAAGTCTGAACAGATTATAAAGGACTGGGCGTCTCACACTATCCGACTGTTTTTTTTGGGGGACTGAAATATTGGGGAGTATACACTAAAGCGATTAGGGGTCACACACTACAACTTTTAAGCTGTTGCTGGACCGAATGGAGCTCACTGAACTCACGTGAGGTCAAGAACTCTCGCGTTCTCTCATTACTAGGGGACGCAAATAAACAAACGTGGAGCTGCGGCTGCTGTTTTCTCTGCCGTTTGCGCTGACGCAGTAAAGCAGCAGGTAAAGATGCTTAAGTGAGGATCATGGATTTAAAAATGTGATCAGTTTGGTGTTAAGACTTCTAAATGTACATAAACTCAATTGTGCTCAAAAAGCTTCGCTCCACATGAGACTTTTCGCAATTTCTCTTTGTTTACTTGCTGTATTTTCTTCTTTCGTGCCCTCAGTTTTCATTGGCTGCTGGTGGAGTTCAGATTGAGTCGTTAACCAGTTTTCACTCGATTAAACTCAGAGTCAGGTCAAAAGAAACGTTTGATGAACTCCGACTGGTTTGAAACGCGATCAGGAGGCCGTAAATCTGCACCCCTCACACACGACTCTCTCCCCAACTGTTGACTCTGACTGACCCAAAAATCTGCAGACTAGAGCGGACCAGCACAGACTCAGCCAGACCGAGAATCAGGACTAAAATCAGGATAAAGTTGTTGTGTAACCCCGGCTTTAGACAAAAGGTGCAGATCTGGGTGTTCATGAACATAGAGTATTATGGTAAACTGGGAGCGGTGGTGCCGTCGTCCCGCTGCTCTCACTCACTCACTCACTCACTCAGGTTTGTTGACTGTGGTGTGGAGGGGTGCTGACATTTCAGGGAGCCTGATGTCTCTGTTACCTTCTGGCTCTCCCTTTTAGTGAGGCTGTAATAGCTCGACCTGTCGGAGTCAATACTTCTCTCTGTTAACACTGTAAACTGTAATCAGCCTCTCTTTACTGAACTGACTGACTGTGTGTGACTGAGTTGAACAGCTGCCCATCCTATGCGGTCTGATGCTGTTGCTTTATCTGTCTTGATCAGGTGCCCACTGCTCACCAGCCTTCTGGACCGGTTTGACCACCATGGAGCTTCCTGCTGTACAACGCTGTGCAAACCTCACCTGCATGAACTGACCCTCCTGATGATTCTGCTGCTGCTGCACAGACTTAAACTATCTAATTATAACCACTGCTTCACCTGTTTCCCCTTTTCTATATTTTAATATTTTATACTAATGTTAAAACCTTATTCTCTGTTCATGTTGCTTGTGTTATTGTTTGCTATCCAGTGTCGACCAGAGGAGGACGGGTTCCCCTTTTGAGTCTTGGTTCCTCTCAAGGTTTCGTCCTCTTGCATTTAGGGACTTTTCCTTGCCACCGTCACCACTGGTGACGCTCATGGGGGCTCGGACCTGGATTTTTCTGCAAAGCTGCCTTGTCACAACGTCTGTTGTAAAAAGCACTATATAAATAAACTTTGACTTGACAGTGTTTGCACACAAGCTTCAGCATGTTTAGTAGGCCATATACGTGTGTGCATGCACGTGCATGTTATGTTTACATTTATGGCATCTTCTTAAAATTTACGATTTTAATCATATTACAGAGGAAATATGAGTTAGAGTTAGGAGTCTTGCCCAAGGACTCTTAAAGGCCTTTACACACTGAGAGCAATTTATTAGTGTGATTTATTTGGATGATGATATATTAATTAGAGCATGTGTATAACTAATAATATCTTGAACAATTAACGCAATTTCTCAGATGGCACAGTTTTATTCGCCTGTTTGGATGATTTTTGCAAACTTTCACCAGCAACCAGCAGCTCAAACTGGACTTCAAACATCAACCTTATACAGGTGGAGCACACAAATCTTCAGCTTCTGAATGTACTGAGCTCTTCACACTACTTTTATTTTTACAAAATGCAAAGCAGCCTGTCCACTGTTTGCCCATTCTGTGAGGCGCGAAGGAGATCTTATCTGCACTTAAAACATTCCGGCTGTTTGTTTTGTTTCGTCTCATGTGGAGCTGCATCTCTGAAGCTCAAACCGAGTTATCTGATCTGTGCGTGACAAAGCTCATAAAATTTCAGCTCCTGAATGAGGCGGAGAAACCCTCTGTTCCCTCTTCATCTCGTGAGAAGCGAAGTATATCCTTTTGATATTCTGCCAGTTTGTCTTCTGTTGTGCAAACAAGGCAACATACATAAAAATAAATAACAGCGATGGGTGTGTATAGTTTTAACACAAAGGAACTGGGTCCACATAAAATAGTCTGTCCTGTGTGCTTACCAAGTATACTGAAGTGTCCCCACACACTCTCTCAAACACAAGCTTTACAGAGTGTTGGTAGAAATCCTGTTCAGCCAACTGAGAAACAACAGCACACTTTTCATTTTTCATTAGGATCTGAAGATTTTCACCGCTGCTTGTCTTTCTCTTTCACTGTCGCCTAGTAGGTTGACTTTATCGATATAGCTGGAGGCAACATGTCGCAAAACGACAAAGGAAAGGGTCGTCGGGAAATGCCTTCAGCCGTGCTGCAGTAGCTAGTGGTGTAGCTGGCTAGCAATGCTAAAAAATGACACCCAATCTATCAAGAGTGATAAAGGCCAATTTATAGTCCAGGCATTAAGTGTCACTCGACCAAAAAATGATGTAAAAGAGAAAAAATCTGTGTCTGTTAGGGCGTCGCAGACTTTATCGCGTACATCAAAAAATCTGACAGGGCGCAGATGTTGTCTCTGTTGGTCATGGTGTGCGGCTGTGTTTACCTTCTTGCCGCTCCACTGCTGTATGTGTGAACGGGCAGCGCGTCTGAGCTCTAGCAGTCGCACGGCAACGCCACTCATACCCCGCAGAAACAGAACGGGTTGCCAGCTATTCAAAACTAGTATCATAATACATTCATAAGATGATCTGTTTTAATTTCCATACCTTTCCACGGCTGCAGTTCATTTAGAAAGTTGTCCCAAGTTAAAAACACACTTTATACCTGCACTGCACTTTCAGACTAAAGCCTTGGGTTCACTACACGACTTAAAGTCTTAACAGATTATAAAAGACTGGGCATCTCACACTTTTAGACTGGTTTTTGGAGATTTTTTTTTGGGCGACTGGAATATTGGGGATCACACACTAAACGATTAGGGATCACACATTACTGAACTTTTCAGCTGCTGCTGAACCGAATGGAGCTCACTGAACTCACGCAAACTCGTGCAAACTCTCGTGAACTCTCGCGTTTTCCAATTACTAGGAGACGCAAATAAACAAATGTGGAGCTGCTACTGCTGTTTCCTCTGCCATTTGCACTGACACAGTAAAGAAGCAGCAGGTAAACATGTTTAGGTGAATTTAAAAATGTGATCAGTTTGGTATTTTTGGAGTTTTAATTGTATATAAGCTCGATTGTGCCTTAAACTCAGCTAATTAAAAAGCTTCGCTCCACACGTGAGAGACTTTTCACCATTTCTCTTTGTTTACGTGCTGTATTTTCTTCTTTTGCACTCTTAGTTTTCATTGGCTGTTGCAGGAATCTGTTCAGATTGAGCTGTTGACCAGTTTACATTAGATTTCGCTCAGAGTCGGGTCGAAAAAATCGAACGTTTGATTAACTCTGACTGGTCTGAAACGCGATTGGGAGGCCAATAACCTGAGTCTGCGCCGCTCACGCACGTCGCGACTCTCCAACTGTGACTCCGACTGACCCAAAAATCTGCAGACTAGAGCCGACCAGCACAGACTCAGCCAGATTGAGAATGAAGCCTAAAATTGGGGTTTTGTACAGTGTTTCATTAGCTGTGCTGTCATTCAAGTTTTCGTAGAAACTACAGATGATGTTCTATTCCGAACTTTTGTTGTTGGTGCAGGAATATCTAAGCCTACAGCGCTGCGACATCTGTTAAGTGACACTTGGGGACTGGACTATAAATTGGCCTTCAGAATCTTTTTGACATATAGATAACCCCACCCCCTCACCCAAAAATGAGAAACATATTTCTACATTTTATAAAAGTTGTAAAACTCTTAGAATTTGTACTAAAAAACGTTTATTAAACTTAAATTTTGTTTTTAAAGACAACATGAAACCTACCTACTTTCTATATTTACATATAGACTTTCTGAAAGCTTCTCCAACCGTGTAACAGCTGCTGTGAAAGAACCCCTTTGTGGGTAAGGGAAGGATCCCCCCCACATCCCCCTACTTTTCAAAATCCAGTTTAACCTTAATGACATTATTTCTGTTTCCATACAGAACTTTTTTGTTTTTTGAAAGGTAAGCTAGCTCTAATAGCTAAAGTTGGATCCCAAACATCCATCTTCAGAATGATTTCTTAACAATAATTATTGAGTATTATTTATCAGTAACTCCATAGCATCCACTCTGCTTCTAAACCCCAGTTAGTCAAGTGAAGTCAAGTCATTTATATGGCGCTTATTACAACAGGCATCATCGCAAAGCAACTTTATAAAAAAATATCCGGGTCCGAGCCCCCATGAGCGTCGCCAGTGATGACAGTGGCAAGGAAAAACCCCCTAAGAGCAGGAGGAAGAAACCTTGAGAGGAACCAAGACTCAAAAGGGGAACCCACCCTCCTCTGGACCACACGGGACAGCAAACAATAACACCCTCAGAACAGCCTAACACTGTAGAAATGTCTTCCAGCATACTTACAGTGTCTTTACATGGAGTTTCATTTGTTCAGCCTGGATCTCCCTCGGTCCACTTCCAAATTCTTATCCCCTTTCTCTTTAGTGCCCTCCACCTTTTTACCCTCACTAGGGCCCAAATCCAACACTCTGAACCAGCATCTCATCCCTCGTTCATTAGAGCTGTTCTTGCATTTTGTCAATAAAGACTTTGATTTAGGGAAGCGGCAGAAGAAGGGAGGATGGGGGGGAGAAAAGGGAGGAGGGTACTGTGGAGTGTTGGAAGGGGACCCATTTGAGACACTGACCTGGACACTTGCCGTTTCCCCTCGGCGGGCAGCAGCACGGTCAGCTGGTCCTGCAGTGGCTCGGCGGGTCTACAAGCATGAGAGTGAGGACGTGTGTGAATGAGGGATGGATGAGTGAAAGGAAGGATGGAGTTTAACCCCTTAAAAAAAACAGGATCATTATGCAGCTATTAATATAATCAGTATTCGAAATATGTACTATCAACTGGTTATTACTATGAAACTAATAGTAAGTTATGAAGGAGAGACATACTAAAGTGCTAAAGTTTAAGGGGTTAAAAGGAAGAAAGGATGAACGATTAGAAAGAAAAAGTAGATGTATCTAAGAGAGAGGAAATGATAAAAACAGAGGAGAAGAGGAGAGAAGAAAAATGATCAGGGGAAAAAAGAGAAAAAATGAAGAGAAACAAATAAAAGAACACAAATGAAGAGAGGAAATCAAAAATAAAAAAGCAAAAAATGAAGAGAAGACAATAGAGAAGGAGAAGACAAGAAGGAAAATGAAGAGGGAATAGAAAAAAATAAAAAGAGTAAAAAGAGATGAAAAGTAATGAGGGAAAGACGCAAAAGGATAAGAAGAGAAAAGAAAAATGAAGAGGGGGAAAAAGAGAAAAGAAGAAAATGAAAAGAAGAGAAAAAAAATAAAAATGAAAAGAGCAAAAAATGAAGAGAAGACAATAGAAAGGAGGGAAAGAAAGAAAGAAAAGGAGAAAAGAAAAATTAAGATGGAAAAAGACAAAAGAATAAATGAAGAGAAGACAAAAACAAAGAGACGAAAACAAAAATGAAAAAACAGCAAAAAAAATGATGAAAAGACAATAGAAAAGAAATGAGTAGATAGAAAAGAAAAGGAAAGAGAAAAGGAAAAAGGAAAAAAGAACAGGGAAAAGAAAAAAGAAAAGGAAAATAAAGGAAAAAGAAAAAAAAAGGAAAGGAAAAAGAAAAGAAAAAAGAAAAGGTAAAAGAAAAGAAAAAAGAAAAGGAGAAAGAAAAGAAAAGGAAAGAAAAGAAAAGAAAAAAGAAAAGGAAAGGAAAGGAAAGAAAAGAAAAAAGAAAAGGAAAGGAAAGGAAAGAAAAGAAAAAAGAAAAGAAAAGGAAAGGAAAGAAAAGAAAAGAAAAGGAAAGGAAAGGAAAGAAAAGAAAAAAGAAAAGAAAAGGAAAGGAAAGAAAAGGAAAGGAAAGAAAAGGAAAGGAAAGAAAAGGCGGTGAACTCTGAACTCAGTTCATGGTGCTGAGGCTGCAGCTGAAGCTGAAATCGTTCCCTCTGTGGCTCTGAGTTATGGAGTAACAGCTTTAAGGTCCTCCACAGTGAATGTGAGTTAAACGAGGAGCGATTTCAGCTGCAGGCGTGAGGTCTGATCTACAGGAGGTTCTACGGCAGGTATGGAATGTCATGGCAACTATGAAGTACTATGGCAACTACGGTCGCGCTGAGGAGAAACACATGCAAAACATCAGCTGCTGCCGTTGCTGTGACAACCACCGTCTTCAGGGTGCTGATGACCTTTTCGGTTCTGAGGTCGTCTCCCTTCACTGTTTTCATTTTCTCCATTCTGAGTGATCGATGAGTCTTCAGTGGAGCAAAACACAGCAAGACAGAGCAGAACCCGGAAAATACACAGCACCAGCGCTCACCTGTTCACAACGGAACCTTCATTAGGCCTACCTGTTCACAACGGAACCTTCATTAGGCCTACCTGTTCACAACGGAACCTTCATTAGGCCTACCTGTTCACAACGGAACCTTCATTAGACCTACCTGTTCACAACGGAACCTTCATTAGGCCTACCTGTTCACAACGGAACCTTCATTAGGCCTACCTGTTCACAACGGAACCTTCATTAGGCCTACCTGTTCACAACGGAACCTTCATTAGGCCTACCTGTTCACAACGGAACCTTCATTAGGCCTACCTGTTCACAACGGAACCTTCATTAGACCTACCTGTTCACAACGGAACCTTCAATAAACCTACCTGTTCACAACGGAACCTTCATTGAACCTACCTGTTCACAACGGAACCTTCATTGAACCTACCTGTTCACAACGGAACCTTCATTAACCCTACCTGTTCACAACGGAACCTTCATTAAACCTACCTGTTCACAACGGAACCTTCATTAGACTTACTTGTTCATAATGGAAACTTCATTAAACCCACCTGTTCATAACGGAACCTTCATTACATCTACCTGTTCACAATGGAACCTTCATTAAACCTACCTGGTCACAACAGAACCTTCATTAGACTTACTTGTTCATAATGGAACCTTCATTAAACCTACTTGTTCATAAAAGAACCTTACTTCTCTGTTCATCACAGAACCTTAATTAAACCTACCCGTTCATAATAGAACCTTAATTAAACCTACCTGTTCATAACGGAACCGTACTTCTCTGTTCATAACAGAACCTTAATTAAACCTAACTGCTCATAACAGAACCTTACTTAAACCTACCTGTTCGTAACTTTACAGGTTATGTTTAGTAGAATGTGTGTGTTCTAAAGCAGGTGGTGTAACAGAGCATCTCAGTTAAGATTCAGACTGTGTGTGTTTTGATCCCTGTGTGTTCTACAGCTCGCCCATCTGCTGTTACACACTCGCAGTGTGTGTGTGCTCAGCGGTGTGTGTGTGTGTGTGTGTGTGTGTGTATGAAGTGTGCAGGGTTCTACTGGTCAGTGGTTGTAGATGCAGGCGGAAAAATGTAAAACAGGTGGTCAGAACAGCAGGCATGTGGCAGCCAGTTCCACACACACACGCCTTGTATGTAGTACCACACAAACATACACACATGAACTAACATCACAATAATGTATTCTGGGTTAGGTCTGCATAACATGTCGTTTCCTATTCATATTTATAATACATTATAACATTAGGAACGCACCCACTTGGGGACCGTACGCCGATTCAAATATCTGATATTTTTCATGTGCAATGTAACGCAATATGTAGAAACTAGGACTAAGGCCCAATCCCATTTCACCCCTCGCCCCTACCACTGAGCCCTCAGCCCTCCGTTTTGTGTGTTCACGTCTAGGGGTAGGGTGTCCTGATTCTTGTTGAGATAGAGGGTAGGGTGAAGTGTTGGGGCTACATGGCCCTCCAAACAGAGGTTTTTCAGAGCAACACTCCAAACAGAGTGTTTGAGAAAAAAAGAAAAACTAGCAAGATGTCAGAACAGGCGGCCAAAGAAACCCACAAGTATGAGAATTTTCTCTGTTAAAAATCACGATAACCACTGTTTTATCTTAGTTTAATGTCATTTCAGTGTATTAAGGTCCTTTTCTTTATAACAAGCATTAAAAATCGCTAGTACTGTACTGATGTCTCGGTAGCTACCTAGCTAAATTTCCCGTTCCACCTTAAACGGTGCAGCAGTTACATTCTGGCGCCTCAACTGCTGCTCTATTTAAGGAGGAAAGGGAAAATTTGAACAAGAAGCTGGTGAATATCTGACTTCAGCTTCATATCACTGAAGAATTAGGGGGGGGTGATAATAAATAATTGCCCCCCTCTTTGAAGGCATATGATGCCCTAAATGTAACTAAAGCCCAGCAGTGAGGAGCTGAACTTTACCCTCCTCTGCTGCCACTGCAGACTGGCAGGGTCGCCCTACAGAGCAGCGCTGGTAGCTGTTAATGAAGTGATGCTCTTTTTATTTGAGGGTCCCATTTCAGAGGAGAAGATTTCAACCACTACCCTGTAACTCAGTTGCAAGAGGGAAGGTGACACTCGAAAACAAGGGGAAGGGATAAAAGAAAGAAATGGGACTGGGCCTAAATCTACCTGGGTTAGCTTTACAGAGAAATATGTTTACCTCTGGAGACTTTTAGTTTAGCACAGTGATCCAGCATCACCTAAACATTTCAAATACACCAAATATCGGTTTGAAATATCGATCAAATCTAAACATCTGTCTGATATCAATATCTTTTGTTAAAGTAAATATGATTCTGATATTGCGCATCCAAAAAAAAAATTCAGAAGTGTCCAGTCCTTCAAATTAGTGAATTTAACTACTTTAAGGTCACTCATTGCTGACACAGGTGTTCAACTGTGCACTCAGTTTGTACAATCTCCATAGAAAAGCACTGACCAATAGAATGGGACACTCTGGAGCAGCTGTACATGAGCATAAGGTTGCCATGCCCAACGCCAAGCGTCTGCTAGAGGGGTATAAAGCCCCCCAGCATTGGGCTGTGGAGCAGTGGAACTGTGTTCTCTGGAGTGATGGAGCTCCATCCAGTACCTTTGGGATGAGCTGAAGCTATGAATACCCTTCATTCCAGAAGAAACTTTCGGACATGCGACATGTTAACCTCTATAACCTGTAATTAAAAGGTCCAAATATCAAATAAGGTCAAATGAAAAAGAACATCATGCTCTATAATTATCCTGTTCGATCTCTGACATTTCCTATGCGCTCTCTGTGGGCGTCAGGCTTTCACATGATTTATGACATGGAAATAACACTGCTCAAATACTGCAGAGCCATCTTTAACCAGGGCAGATCAATTTTAACACAAGCAACAACATAATTATTTTACTACGTTTAATTACAAGCCACACAGTGACCGCAGTATGCAGTATGCAAATATCGTTGAAATGTAACATTTTGTCCATATACTACCTTAATAATTAAATCAGAATAGCTTTAAGAAATCTTTAAAATTCTGTCGTTCTCCAAACATGTCAAGCGAAGACTAATATGTTATTAAAGCAATACATTACAAGAGGCTGTGCATTACAGTGATTTTACCACAGGTTAGGGTGTTATTAGGCACGACTTGAAGCTGAGAAAACCCCTGTACCTGTGATAAAATCAGTATAACGCGCAGCCTCAAGTGGCTCAAGCGCTTTTATAAAATGGTGGGCAACCTAAAACATGATAAGTTAATGAATAATTTAAGGTATTATTAATAATAATCAAGATAACCTATTATTCTGCCAATAAATGTAGTTCATTTAGAGTATGTGATTGTTGCCAAGCAACCATGGACTGCCGAATGAGGACAAGAACGTTCAGTTACCCATCATTTTATACTGGTCATTTCCTGAACTTT